GACATATTTTGACATTATATGCTCAACAGTAAATCAGGAATTTTAAGTCACAATTGAATTCTTGAATGTTAATCACATTTGTTATAAGAGTCACCTAATATTTCTCATAATTTTAATGATTCTCCTCAAAGATTAGTTGTAAAAGGAAATATTAAGAAGATATTTTTCAAAAATAGAGTTGATTAGAACAAGCATGCAATCATGCATTCATATTCTCAACTCTACCTCTAGATAATCACAATAAAATACATAGGTATGCATACTTATGATCATTTTTGGTCATGTATTATTATCTTGGCTGTAATTAATAATGCCACTGCATTTTCAGTAAGTGTGGTAGTGGTAAGTACATGTACATGTACATGTATATGAGAAACATGAGATTATTAACTCACAATTGTCACAACTTTGTCATCCTCCTCCCAGACTGTAAGTAAGAAAAGGAAAAGAATATTTAAAGAAATGAAGGAAAACGTACCTGAGCTTTCAGATCCAAATCATCATCCAAATTGTAATTTTTCTCCATCTCATCAGTCAAGAGTTGACTAGGTTGGGTCAGTGCTTCAGACATTTCACTCCCGCATCCACTGTCACTCATGTCTGCATCCTCCAGGCTGACCTTTGCTCCTCCTCTTCCTCCATTCGGTCCTCGATGACTGGATGGACGCGATGGTTTGGATGACCCTGGTCTGACCTTAGCGGAGATGGGACGTTGGACTTGCGTCATGGCAACACCAGTAGTCAGCATGATGTCGTTCGGAACTCCAGAATTTTGTTTTGCTCTCGACAGCCTAGATGCATGCTGGCCATCTTCATTCCATGCTTCTCTCGAGGATAATAGATCATTGCTATAGCAACCAATACCAGGATGCGGTTCACCTAGAAGCATCTTGTACTCCAAGACAATATTCTGCTGCTGACTTGATTCATCAAAGAGTTCCTCGTCTTCAAGCTCTGAACGATTCTGGAACTCATCTTGTCCAAGGAATCTATGTAAAGAGCTATTAGGACAAACACAAGTATCCTCATCTAATCCACAACTGTCACAGTACAAGACTGGATCATCAACCTCAGGAATGTCATTATATGACAAAAGTTCTTCTTTCCTGCACAAGCTCTGAGCTTGGATTTCTTGCAGCAATTGTTCTAAGCTCTTGAAACAGATTACCTGATTCTCTTCTTCACTTTCGACTTCCTTGTCCTCAGTGTGATTATTGCTGTTACCATTTTCATTGTCTCCAGGATTTTCATCTTTATTGTTTCTATCTCCATCTCCTCCTCCTCCTCCTCCTCCTCCCAAAGCCCCACCTCCATTATCATTGTGACTATTACTACCTTGACCTGTTCCACTACCACTATCACCACCCGTTCCACTATCCCCATCATTCCCATTACCACCACCCGTTCCACTATCACCATCATTCCCATTACCACCACCCGTTCCACCATCACCATCATTCTCATTACCACCACCCGTTCCACTATCACCATCATTCCCATTACCACCACCCGTTCCACCATCACCATCATTCCCATTACCACCACCCTTTCCACTATCACCATTATTCTCATTACCACCACCCGTTCCACTATCACCATCATTCCCATTACCACCACCCGTTCCACTATCACCATTATTCCCATTACCACCACCCGTTCCTCTATCACCATTATTCCCATTACCACCATCCTTTTCTCTATCACCATCATTCCCATTATCCTTTTCCTTAGTGTCCTTTGCATCATCATCCACTTCTTCCTCCTCTTTCTTCTCTACTTCTTTATCACTGTCTTCCTTCATTGCACTTGATAACAATTCTTCATTATTTTGCTTTACAACATCATTCTCACAATTCTGAGTCACGACTGATTCAGATATGTTAGCATTTACAGAAACACTTTGGTGGTCTGCAGTATTGCTGAGAATTTCTTTTGGAACTGCTGTTTCAATTTGCTGTTGGTCTCCAGCTGGAGAGTTTTGTTCTATTTTGCTGCTCACTATACTAACATCTTTTTCATTGACTAATGTTATTGCTAATGCATCAATGCCTGTTCTTAGAACAGGATCAGAGTTTGGTGTTCCTGATACTGCATCATCTGCAGGACTAGATGCTCCTTCAGCACTTCCTTCCCTCAGAGGTGTTCCCTCAACATTATTGCTTACAATATCATTCTCTACAGCTGCTTTAACTGACCCATCAACCAATGAAATACTGGGAATATTGTTCAAGTTTTGAGATTCATTTCTCAGGGAGTCATTCACAGGCACAGTGTTAGTATTGCTATCATTGTTTGACTCTCTTCTATTGTCTTCAAGCTTTGTTCCATTTGACACATCTTCAGATGCATTCTGCATAATCATCTTCTTTTGTTCATGCAAAGTGGCTGACCCATATACATTAATCTTTGTCTCCTTATCTGTTATTGCTTTTTCAGGTACTTTAGTTTCTATTTTAGACACAACAGGTTGTTCAAGATGCTCTTCTGTAGGAATCGTTTCCAGTTTATTCTCACTTTGCATAGACCCTTCACTTTGTTCATCAGTCTCTGCTACAACATAACTCTGAGTAATACTGTCTTTCAGAATGGATGGTGAGTAACTTTGTTCAGGGTGATCACTCTTGGACTCATTTCTATCAACAGTCACAGTGTCTGGTACAACATTTTTGCTATTGATACTGTCATTATCATCAAGGTTTGGTTGAGATTCACTTTTCATTGCAGTGGTTACTTTTCTGTTCCCAACCCTATCATCACTCATTGCTGCACTGTCTAAAGCTGGATACTTCTGTTGGACACTATCCAAAGGATACTCATCATCATAGCCATTCTCCAGTTCTGTGGCATCCGAGGGTTCATTGTCGAACTGTGTGAGGTCATTTCTGGCCTGTGAGTTCTTCTTCACCATGTTGCATAGGATCTCTGCCCTACCCCCTTCAAGTTCACTGAGGTAGTCGCTCATATTGGACTCGCTCACATCATCAGACAGCTTGTCTGCATCACCCCCAGCCATCAGACGTTCTGGATCCTGTACAGCGGTACCTTCCTCCTTTGCGCTGGTCTCTGGACCCTTTGCCTCTGGGTCACCACCTTCTTGCTGAACTTCAACAGCAGGGATGTCGACCTGGTTGAAGATCCTGTCATCTATCATCATCACCATGCTGTTGAATGGACCAACGGGTCCAGCCTCTTCCACCATACTCTGTGATCTCAGCTGACCTGGTTGTCTGGGATTACAATTGAAAAAAAATACAGATATTTATTAGACATAAGAATATCCAAGCCGGTTAAACATTGTCGCATTGAAAAAGTGCAACAATTTACACTAGACCAAAAAGTAAAAGTTCAAAAAAGATTTCTGCAGTTGGTTTTTCTCTAGTAGACCACACTCCATACCTGCCAAATTCCACAGCTAAAATTGAGAATCTCTTAAAGACATCGTTTAACAATGTTAAATCTGAGATGCACGGCCCAACCTGTTATCAGTGTCTGTGATATGGTGTAATATTGAAGCCCTAAAAAAATTGTGTTTCTAAATGACCATGAAGTGCCTCAAAAAAGTAAAAATCTTTGAGTGACCGGTTTTACCATACTCGTTTTCACCATTTGACTGTAGTGTTATGAAAACCGTTTTGATTTTTAACCAAATTCTGATTTCGATTTCCAGTCATATATATCTTGATAATCAGACTTGTAAAAGTCATGGGGTTCCTGACTGACCTAAAGCTTTATAATTATCATTGCAGCATAAGCTAAATCTAGGATTTTATTTCAGAATCTTAGACAGAGTTACCCAATCCTAATTAGAATGAGTATATTTTGTATGCTTACATGGAAGTTTTCAGAAATAATGGTTCTCTTTGAAATTTGCTAACCTAATCCCATGACTTTCCATGACCAATATTTGCCATTTGCCAAGACCAGATAAGTTGCGTTTTGGTATGGGCTGCTGCCTATTGTCACTTCAAACTGGAGGGCTGCCTTAGCCACACGCGGCCCACAAACCATGGACCATGGAAACAGAGAGGAGTTGAAGGCTTTAGTTTTAAGGCTCATAATAAGGGATCATTCAATCCAAAATTATGAGGGATGGCAGATATGACACTGTTAGCCAATTAATTTCATATGTTTAGAGTGAGTACCTGTAAATACATATTATTCAAAAGAATAATTCCTATTTAATCTTAGCAATACTTACATGGAGGGATGGTTGGCTGGGTTATCCCTATCTAAGGACAGTGCTGAGACAATGGAGTTTCTGTGGACGGAACCTTGAGTCTCTGGTCTAGTGTGTAGTGAACTGCCTGTTGTGGACCTCTGGAAGACATCGGGAGGCAGCATGCTCAGTAACTCCTTCTTCCGCTGCAGCAAGAGGGCCTTGTCTGCTGTCTGTCCTCGGTTATCCTCTGATAAAGATCAAAAGTGGATTGACTTTTCATTTCCCATTTCATTACTTAAAAATCTAGAGGAGCCTTTGTCATTGCACTAATAAACAAATGTGTAAAACATTCTCTTGAACGTGCAATGCTGCATGAATACAGATAAAAGGTGACTTGAGCTAAACAAGTCTATGAAAAAACAAGGCAAACACCAAGCACAACTCACTAAAAAAATGTGCTATTTCAATCTGTCAGCAGTTCAGGATGTGAAATTTGGTTCCAGCAGTTTACATTTAGTAACTAGATGGATCTTCGACTGTGAGCAGTTGAAAAATGATGTTCTGCCATGAAGCAATTTTACAAACCAAAAGTCCAAAACAGAAGCAATTTTTCAAATTCAAGTTTGAAATTCATTGTGATTCATTGTGATTCATTGTAATCCATGAATAGGTTCTCAGAATATTGTGATTACAAGCTATTTTTCATATACACTGTACATGTATGACCCTAAAATCTAATCAGTTCATTGGCTCTGATAAAATACATAGATGCCTTGAGTTTGATGGTAATCCGTTCATCGGTTCTTATGATAGTGTGATCGCGAGCTGTGTTTGCATACATAATGAGCCCTGCGACCTTGTGACCCCAAAATCTAATCAAGATAAATACCTGTAGTATGAATTTGGCGATCCTAATTACCTAAAGAAAGTTATTACAAGTACAGGGTGACTTTTTTTTCTTTTTCTTTGAAGCATTGATGGGTGCAGCATGATTGCTAGTGACAACCAAAATGAGGATGATAACGACGTCGGATATAGTTACGCCTGTTTCTCACTCCGCTACACAGGTGACACAAAACTCATTCAAGTTCATACCTGTTAGTATTCCTTGGCATTCATCCATTCCAGGTCCATCCATCTTAAATGTGTGCAATGGCTTCAGTCTGGTTTGAGAGATTGAGAGATATCATAATTTAAAGCCATAACTGCTTCTTTTTTGCAGCCATCCATGGCTTCAGTATGACAATGCAGAAGGGTAGCAGTGAAAGACATTACTGGTTAAAGACATACCCAATCAAAACTTCATCACTAAAGAAAAGACTAACATGATTTTAACATCAATGCAACCACAAACATAATTTTAAATCGTCCTCAACACAAGATCACATTTTAAGTTAAAAGACTCCTAATTATTTGTGGACAAATCATTCCTCCCTTCTATAAGTTACACTTTCTACATCAAAACACTGCTTAACAGTATATAAAAAGATGCATTTTATTATAGCGAGAATATAACTATACATTTGGTAAATAGAGCCAACTTAACAGCAAAAAGCTAGTCAATGATTAATGATGCTAAAACATACAATTTCATGATCTCTAGCTTCAGACCCAATAATTACAAAAATTGAATCAATTTATCCCTCTATGTTGACACATAATGGTACCAACATTAAGTCAATTTTCTCAAATGGAACTCAAGATATCCCAAAATATAATTGAACCCTCTTCCTATAGTGATAGATAGGCCTACTATCACCAAGTTTGAAGTTCATACCTCAAGTGATTTTTAGATATTGAGATAACAAGGCTAAAAACTGTAATTTCGGAATTTAACCTCTATTACCTTTGACCTTTTACCTACTCACCCTAAAATCTGATCAGATCTTCATTCATTATGGATAAATAATAATAATACATTTTGATTTACTAGCGCATAATAATTAACACTTAATTCTCTATGCGCTTTACATTAAAAGAGTACACTTTACAATCTACATCAACATATATATATATATATATATATATATATATATATATATAAGAGGATAAATAACACCACTACATGCCTGCTCATTAACACAAGAATTGTTACACTACTGTCAGAAAAGGTGTGTCTTTAAGACTCTCTTAAAATCATAAAGGGAAGATGTATTCCTGATCCTTGAGGGCAGAGAGTTCCAAAGAGCTGGAGCCGAAACCACTAAGGATCGGTCTCCATAGGTATGCATATTAACAGGGTGTACTGCAAGGAGGTGTTGTGATAATCTAAGTGTCATACTGGATTGTGCTTACAAATTAGATCTGACATATATTAAGATGGAGCAAGATTATTCTGTGCTTTACAACACAAGATAAGAATCTTGAATACAACACAATTTCTATGGGCAACCAGTGTAGTTTCTTTAGAAGGGGAGTGATGTAATCTCTTGAACGAGCACTCACTGTTTACCTTGCTGCTGTGTTTTGAATTCTTGGAAGGCCATACACCAATGAATTACAATTATCAACACAGAACAATATCAACGCATGAACAAGTATATATTAATAGATCTTCTATTTAGATATTGCCGGATCTGTCAAATTTTCTGAATGGCCATGAATGCCAACTGACATCTTTTAGTGATGTGAGTTTTTTTTGGTGAAGTTTGAGATATTGGAATAATGCTAAACCTGTAATGTCATACGTTGACCTCTATCACATTTGACCTTTGGTGATACATACTATCACAACGCTTGGAATTTATATTTCACCACTTTTGATGGGAGGAGGCATAAATAGTTTCTCATATACAGGCTGCTCACAGACAGAGTTGTGAATTCTAAAATGAACATCACCGATCTGTAACAGTACTTTATCCCAATCTTCTTTTCTCTTCGCAGCAAAAACACCCCCAAATAACAGGCATTTTAATTGACCTGCAGACGTGCCAGCAACAATTGTGGAAACTTCAGAAATGTTCTAAGCACCTCTTTTAATGAAATAATCTGCATTAAACAGAAGAATCTAAAAAATTACTTATAAAGAGAAACAAAAATTAAAAATTGAATGAATTTCCCACAGGAAAAACAGCAAGAGATTTCCGACTCAGTTTCTGATGCAAAGATTGAAGGGGAGTGAGAAACAAAATTACGAGATATCAAAAGCTTGCCATTTTGTGATCAGGGCTTTATTGAATAAACTTACTTTCCCTTTAGTAACCTGCCTCCCTTACGACTGGGCGGGGGATCCTGTTGCCTTGCCAGAGCTTGGGTTACCTCATGCAAGGCTAGCATTGTAGATTCCTTCAACTCCTGACCAGGAGACACAGGTCGTTCCTGATAGGGAAAATGAAAGAAATATATTTTACAATTGGCATATACATATAACTCGTACTTAAGAAATGTCTTTAAGGTAGAACACCCTGTATTCATCTATTAATGAGGTGTCGTGGTATAATGGATAGGTCGCTGGACTGTGTGAATCACATGGTTTGCCACAGCGCTAAAGACGACAAGATATTAATTTACATAAATGGGGACCTGGTAGGTATTTGTTGAATGCTTGAGTCATGGCAGCTTGACTGAGGCCTGGGCCGTATTCAATTCAATACTTAAGTACAAAATTTAAGCTTTTTACTTAGTATTTGGCTTAGATAAAATACTTAGCCAATTATGGTATTCAATTCGCACTTTTGGCTAAGTATTTTACTCTAAATCTAAGCCAACTCCATACCACACTTAAGCCAATTATTTAGAGGCCTTGATAGGCAGGCATATGGTTTTCTTACGCAGTATTATATCCTGCGCACAATTATATTAGCGCACATTTATTGTAATGCATCAATTGCGCATTACTTTTGATTGACCGTGTGACGTCACAATGCTTATCAGTAAGTATTTTAATTAGATTTTGTCTTACGTAAGTATAAGTCTAAAATGCGATTTGAATACGAGATAAGTCAATTACTTAACTTAGCCATTTACTTAGTAAATTTCTGACTTATGCTAAGTATTGAATTGAATACCGGCCCTGGGGAATAATATGATTGGAGATCCCTCAGTATTAAAGGGCCATCCAACTTTTGTAATCATTTTTTTTTTGTATATAAGCAGAAAAATAAGAGAAACAAAATAGTATGGTAGTTTGAAATAAATAGGACAAATAATAAGAAAGTTATGAGTGTTTGAAATATAAGATCACTAAATCTATACAAATCACAAATCAGGTCACTGGATCTCCATCAACAACTTGACCGTATATAAATTTCTGTTTTCATCCTCAGGACCTTCTCTCTCTGGGCATGTCTGGGCATGTCTCAAAATATATTGTAGGTAGCATTTTATCAAAGCTTCTCTAAAATGAAAAGACCCTCCTGCATCCCGAGTCGAACATTTTGAAAAATTGAAATTTTAATCTCTTTGTGAGTCGGAACAAAGGGGATAATTGTCATACTGATGAGGATACCTTGGGTTAACAAGCCATATTATTATCATTATTATTATAATGATCATCATGATTATGATGATTATTTTTATCATTATTATTATTATTATGAGTTAAGGCAAACAACAGGCTTCTAACATGTCAAATCTTGCCTTCACAAACTTATGAAGGATCTGTCTTCATTACACAAAACTTTCTTGATGGGGAGTAATATGTCTATCTTTGGATACATAGCAAATATAAATGGAGAATTACTAATGTATTGTAAGTTTATGTTAAGTCATCTTAGGCCCTGAGCAGAAGAAAACATCTTTTGTTTGAGGTTTCTCATATGACCTGTCGGACTCGAGCAAATGTACATACTATGGGTGTTGAGTTCTCCACATTGTGCTTGAATGGCTGTGAGAGTTGGTAGTTAGCCTTGAGGGTTGAGGCCTCTAGCACCATCGGAGCCTGAATGGGAGCAAGCCTCCGCCTCCCTTCATTTGGCGTCGCCTGATGGGGCCAGAAACGGTTGCCTAGTGACCACAATGATGGAGGACCAGCCAAAAATGCAGAATTTCTTTAGAAGAGCGATAGAAAAAAGAAAGGCAAGGTGATTAAACAGATCATAGATGTATAATTTTTTTAAAACTAGATGGAACTTCCACTGCATGCAGTCCAAAATGCCTCCGCTATAAACGATTTCACAAACCAAAACAGAAGCAATTTTTCATATTCAAGTTTAAACGTAATCCATTAACAGGTTCTCAGAATATTGTGATTACAAGCTATTTTTCATATATATGTATGACCCTTTCATCTTTGACCTCATGACCCTAAAATCTAATCAGTTCATTGACTTTGCAAGATAGATACATGTCTTGAGTTTGATGGTAATTTGTCCATCGGTTCTAATGATGTGATCGGTTTTAATGATGTGGCTCTGCAAGATGCATACATGACCTACATGTAAGTTTCAGAGATGCCAAGTTCAAAGATCAGCAATAAGTGACATTTGCATGATTCGGCGCGCGAGCCTATAACACACGTATAAGGTATAGCGTTTTTTTGAAATCTAGCGCGCGCCGTGCGTGAGAGCATTTCCAGACCCTCGAAATGCGTGACACTTGGTGTTCTTTAATAGTTGTTTAATAACATATTTAAATATCCCTGTCCAGCAGGCCAGCACCGGTCGATTCCATTCAGCAGACGGGCCGAGCCAGCGGCCCATTGATTGGTTTAGCACTGTGTGCGTCGGCCAATAAGCCTTGTGCATTAGCCGAACCAGCGGATGAACCAGCGGCCTGTTGATTGGTCGAGCACCGTGCAAAATTTCAAAATGCTCTAAATCGTCTCAAATTCATTTTCTATTGTTAAATGTTACATGTATATTGTTAAATGTTACATTGTATGTTCTATCATTTGTATTTACACTGTCAAAAAAGCCATTGGAAGCAAAAAATTTTATGTAATGTTTGCATGCATGGATCAATAAAATTATCTTGAATCTTGAATCTTGAAATACAGGTTTGTTTGTTTTTTTGTTGCTTTATGGACACACTCAAGAGACTCAGACGCGTTTCCAAATTTTAAGAGCGTGACCGCCAGGAAGATCGCTAAAATCAATTAAAATTTTTGTTCATTGCTTCTGCTGTTCCTGGCTGAATTTGGAATGAACTGCGTGTATGTGATATGTGATGTGCTATGATGCTGTTCATTTTAAGATGATTTTGTAATGCATAAGGTGGACCAGCCGAAAACCACTCCTGGTCAACCCCTCCCCCCCCCAGCTTTACTCTATTTAATACAGTTAATACTATTTCATTCCAAATGTATTTCTATGTAGTATAAAAAGTATACTTATAACATCTTTAATGGTCTCAGCGGCGGTGTTATGTACAATTTGCAACTTCCATAAACCAGTATGTACTATGACCAAGTCAACGCAAAGCGTAGCATCCCCTCGCAGGGAACAAATGGCCTATATACGTCAGAACAAGTTACCTCCATTGGACTATACTATTACAAGGAAGTTAACCACATTTTCACATATATAATTAGGTGTTTTGCATATTTCATGAGTTATGACCTTTCACTTTTGACCTACAGACTCAGAAATCGAACTTGGGCTGTACATGTATTTTGATACCATGTACCTTCATATTAAATTTCATTAAAATTCGTCAAACATTGATGATGATGATGATGATGATGAACAGCATTTGTATGGCGCCATATATCTGTTTAAAAAAACATTCAAAGGCGCAAGCTCCTCCAATAAAATTAGCATTTAAATTTCTGAAGGAAGATGTGAGTTTTGAGTGAAGCTTTGAAGTGGTCCAGGTTGTCAATTTAATGAATAGATGATGGGAGGGAATTCCACAGGCGAGGAGCAATAGAGGAAAATGCCCGGTCTCCATATCCCTTGAGATGAGTAATGGGTACCTGGAGAGTAAGGCCACATTACTAAAGTTATGGATCAGAAACCAGATTCGCATATTTAATGAGCTATGACCTTTGACCTTTGAACTCCAAAATCGGACTTGGCCTGTATTTTGATATCATGTACCTTCATATCAAATTTCATTAAAATCTGTCAAACATTACTGAAGTTATTGATCGGAAACCAAATTTGTTACGAACGTACCGGTACGCACGGAAGGAAGGACGGACGGACGGCAGCGTTATTATATCCCCTCCGACTTCGTCAGCGAGGGGATAACAACTGATTTCTGAAAACAGCTTGGCCTTCTGTTAACTTACTTGTGAGTAAAGAAAGAATTGTAGTTGTGCAGTGACGATCCGGCCCGGGAAGGCACTCTTGGGGTACTCTTGCCTCCTCCATAAGGAGAAAAAGGGGGATGGTTAGGGGTTTGAGATCTCCTACCAGCTGTTGGGTGTATGAACTCTGGACTAATCCTCTTTGGTACAGATCTGCCTTGCTTTTTGGAGAGTTGCTTGCTGGAATAAGACTTTCCTTCTGTATGATTGGTTCACAAACAGGAATGGAATGAAATAATATGATTAAGAAATATCATTAATATTTTGACACACAGTAACTTTAAGTATAATTCAAATCTCGTCAAGACAAAATGTTAATACAATTAAAATTAAAATAACAGTGAACATGTTCACGTAGTATTACACGCCAACAACTACATGTACCTTCACTTATAATTGAACTAGATGGAATTTTGACTGCGCGCAGTCGAAAATGATGCCTCCGCCATAGAGCAATTTAAACAAGTTTGGAGTTTAAATCTCCAGTGGTTCTTGAGATATCATGATAACAATCTCAATGTATGGAATTTCATAAGTTGACCTCTGTGACCCTTGACCTTTGACCTACGTGCTCCAAAATCTAATCAGATTGTCTTCCTATGGTGATACACACTATCATTAAGTTTGAAGTTTAAATCTCCAGTGGTTCTTGAGATATTATGATATGGTGATACATACTATCATTAAGTTTGAAGTGAAAATTCTCCAGTGGTTCTTGAGATATCGCGATAACGATCTCAATGTATGGAATTTCATAAGTTGACCTCTGTGACCCTTGACCTTTGACCTACGTGCTCCAAAATCTAATCAGATTGTCTTCCTATGGTGATACACCCTATCATTAAGTTTGAAGTTTAAATCTCCAGTGGTTCTTGAGATATGATAACAATCTCAATGTATGGAATTTCATATGTTGACCTCTGTGACCCTTGACCTTTGACCTACGTGCTCCAAAATCTAGTTTTTACATCTCCAGTGGTTCTTGAGATATCATGATAACAAGCTCAATGTATGGAATTTCATAAGTTGACCTCTATGACCCTTGACCTTTGACCTACGTGCTCCAAAATGTAATCAGATTTTTTTCCTATAGTGATACACACTATCACTAAGTTTGAAGTTTAAATCTCCAGTGGTTCTTGAGATATCATGATAACAATCTCAAAGTATGGAATTTCATAAGTTGACCTCTGTGACCCTTGACCTTTGACATACGTGCTCCAAAATCTAATCAGATCGTCTTCCTATGGTGTTACATACTATCCTTAAGTTTGAAGTTTAAATCTCAAATGCTTCTTGAGATATCGCGCTAACAAACTCAATACAAGGAATTTCATAAGTTGACCTCTGTGACCTGTGACCTTTGACCTACGTACTCCAAAATCTAATCAGATCGTCTTCCTATGGTGATATAAATACTATTCCCGAGTCTTAAGTTTAAATCTTGAATGGCTCTTGAGATATTGTGATAACGGTCAAACGGGACGGACGTACGGACGGACGTACGGACGGACAACCCGAAAACATGATGCCTCCGGCACCACCTTCGGTGGTGGAGGCATAAAAATGTAAAAATACATGATTTAGAGATATACAGAGAAATGTCACCATGCCTATAGGCTTACTAAAAAGAGCTGAATACATGTAGATTAATGATGATAGGATAACAGTTGAAATGACTTACCCATTACTGCCTTATCAGCTGGTAAAGTATCAACACTTAGGAATGGAACAGGCTGAAAGCAAAACAAAACAAAACAAGAAACATTGAAAATATCTGTATTTCTTGGTAGAACAAAAGATTTTAAGGTATATGCATGTAGGACCAGATCTACTCTTTAGTGAATCTAAAATAATTAGTGTTGTTCTAATTGTTGTAATTGTTTCTTTATTTCAAAGAAGAGTATAGCAGTGCACAATGTGTACAGTCAAATAATCATGACCATGTCCATGAACCTACATGTACATGTACATGTATTTGGGTCAAGGCAGGTTTGTGCAATAAATCATAGAATACAAAGAAAATACAATGATGGAATTCAAATCACGATGACTTTAGGAGAAAACATATCGTCATTTACTCATTATTGATAATTTTTAAAATAATATAAGCATGTAAGAAAATTTGTGAGAAGTGGGGGTATGGTATAAGGGAGTTTACAGATACAATCTGTGCATGGTTCAAATGCTGTCTTTAAAAATTTCATTTAAATTTTTATTTTATTGGTACCCAATTAGTATTTAGCCAACCACAAATGTATTACTCAAAATATGTGTTTCATAATATCAAGAAGCGGGGTTGCAATAACAAAAAATTCTTATTTTTAACATAAGTAAGCAGGTCAAGAACAATTGGTTTACTTTTGACTTCTTTATGAAAACAAAAATCCATTCATGAATCCATTTCGGATCCTGATTTTTGTTCTTACTTTCCTCCCTATTCTCTTTTTTTTTTTATAGTGGCCCTTCAAGTGCTGCTTGGGGCACATGTCCCCTCTCCCACCCCTATATGCCACTGAGTAAGAAACTCATTACGATAATGATGATGATTCACAGCATTTGTATGGTGCCATATATATCTGTTTAAAAAAAAACATTCAAAGACGCAAGCTCCTCCAATAAAGTTAGTCATTAATTGTCTGAAGGAAGACGCGAGTCTTGAGCAAAGCTCTGAAGCGTTCCAGGTTTTCAATTCGCGGAGAAATGATAGGAAGGAGTTTCACAGGGGAGGAGCAATATAGGAAAAATGGCTGGTCTCCATATCCATCGAGATGAGTAATCGGCTTCTGGAGAGTAAGACCAGATGAGCAAAGACCAGGGTGAAGATGACGCTGCTCAATTAAAGATGACACATATCCTGGGGTCTGACCATGAATTGCCTGAAATGTGAGCAGGATCTTGAATTCAATTCTGCTCTTGACAGGTCGAAGCCAATGCAGCTCAGCCAGGACAGAAGAGATATGATCATGCTTCCTCAAGGCCGTTACAGAAATCAAGTCTAGAGGAAATAAGTGAATGGATGAGGCTTTCAGCTGCAGTCTGCAGTGAAGAAATAACCTGAACCATTCTAGGGCAGTGCCATCAACCTTGAAGTCCCTGTAGCCTCTGGAGAAGGCCTTTGTGATCAATCATATCGAATGCAGCATATCCAAAAGTCCAAAAGAATACCATAGCTGCTTTCTTGTTGTAGCCTGCCCTCAAGATGTCATTAGATATTTTCAAAAGAGTAATCTCCACGCTGTGAAGCCTCTTGTACCCAGACTACATGGTCTCATGAAGGTCATAGTACAGAAGGTGTGATGTCAGGCTTTTGGCGACCACTTTCTCAAGGGCTTTGGCGAGGAAAGGCAGCTTAGATAAAGGCCGATAATTGCTCATCTCGTCAAGATTTAAGGATGACTTCTTCAGTACAGGAGTAACAAGAGCAAGTTTCAGTTCTTCCAGAAACTTACCTTCCTGTAAACAAGCATTGACTATCTTTGAGATAAGCATAGCCATCAAGTCATCATTTTCCTTCACAACTGAGGTAGGAATCGGATCCAGGGAGCATGACTTACATGTACATGTAGCAGGGGTCCTTCTAATGACTCTATGTATCTCTAGCGGACTTGTGGGCGCGAATGTAGTCAGACGCTCCCTGCAAGAGGAGGTTACATTGTTGTCTAAAGCTACTCCATCAGTCAAAGACATATCTGACTGCAGGTTGCATCTAATAGACTCAATCTTACTAATAAAATACCTTGAGAATTTAGAGGCTAGATGAGGACTGATGTAGTTGATTCAGTCTTCCGGTGCAGGAGCTTGTTGATGATGGTGTAGAGTGCCTTCTGGTCATCTCCACAATCAACTACTAGTATGAGTTCATTGTAGTAGTCACCTTTAGCATCAGAAAACAATTCCTTGTCTCGATTTCTCTGCTTTCCGAAGATTTTTTATTCAACTAAAGCCTTGGTCCGTCTCCATCATCTTTCAAGTTGTTGCCACTTTCGTTACTCTTTACCGATATCCTCATTGTACAAAGGAACTACCGGCTGCTCCACAATAACACATGTTTGCACCGGAGCATGTTTATCCAGCAAGTCCCTCAGCATTACATTATACTGGTGTATACTGGCGAACTATTAGTCATCAACAGCACCACAGGAGTTTGAAAGTAGACTTGAATCTTCAATATCCAGTCTAAGCTGAGCCGAATAATAGACTTCAACTTGCGGTACAGGCACTTCTTCACAGGCTTAGCTTTTTCTAGCTGAAGGAGACAGTGGACCGAGCTGTGATCTAATATTGAGTCCCGGATAAGCACAGAATTAATGTTCTCGGCATCGATGCGGGTGATGACCAGATCTAGAATGTGACCTGACTCATGAGTAGTTTCGTCCACTATTTGCTGGAGATTATGATCAAGGAGTAGTCTCTGCAAAGCTCTGGGCCCGTTTCACAAACCTTACCATTGATGGTAACTTTGCAATCAATGGTATCTACCATGGAAACCTAAATTTTGAGTGGCTGTTGAGCCTTGTTACCATGGTAGTTGCCATTGATGGCAAAGTTACCTTTAATGGTAAGTTTTATGCAATGGGCCCTGGTATGACTAGATTGTTGATTATCCCAGTGGGCATTAAAGTCTCCAAAAATAAACAGTTTCACTGTGAACAAGGAATACCTATCCAGCTTAGCCGAAATTTTTTGGATGAACTCGGTGAACATATAGAACTGTTCTTACGTGATGGTGGTGGAGATAAACTACGATTACCTTGATCTTCTCATTCAATACCATGGGACAGTTCAGTTACAATAAACTCAAATAATTTTGGTTGGATGCTTGTTCTTAATACCATAACCTGCTGGGTTATCGCCCCCCTGAAACAAGGGGCTTATTAGACACAACGGCCGTCTTCCAAAGTCATACGCAATCCAATGTTCTTGCAAGGAAAAGCATGTTTGTTTCTAAAAACAAAGGATGTAAGCAGCGGTTTAGAGGGGAAGTGGTGCAAGTCGGGCCTAGTGGTAGATTATGATATCTAATATATAACGTTATGCTGAAGGAAACTAAAGATAACTAGAAGATGATAGAAAATTGTGAGAGATATGATCAGAGTTGTTAATAACATGTGTAAATCTTCAACAAGGATTCTACCCCAAAATCATCATGATCAGCATAATTCACTGAGTCATTTGCCAATAAGATACAGTCTGCTCTCCAAAACATTACTCCTATGGTAGAAACACGTGCAGAGTCACTACCTGTTCATGCTCCAGGTACTAAATTCTTAAGATTTTCTCCTGTGTCCTCAGGTACGGTTGCCAAGTTAATAAAAAACTCAAGGTCAAACACTTGTCCTTCAGTTCCCATTCCGTTTTTCCTTCTGAAGAGATGTGCTGATGAAATTTCTCCTCTCATAGCAAGAATTATCAATCTATCATTTGAGACGGATTGCTTTCCAGTTCAGCTAAAACATGTGTACATTGCAATAAAAAATAAAGACGTGTCAGGTGATTGCAATGATTTGAAAAACTATCGTCCCATAGCAAACCTCTCATTTTTGTCAAAGTTGATTGAGAGAGCTGTGGTAATGCAACTAGAGATTCACTTCACTAGCAATTCTCTTTATACATGACTAAATCTTTCTACTGCACTGATCATAGTTGTAAAACAGCCCTTGTTCGTCTTTTTAAAGATTTTCTTCTAACCATGGACCTACTACGAATGGACATTCTACGGCGAGAGTAGTAAAAATAATGATAGCTACCACCTGTTCTTTATACTTTTCTCTATGTTTTAAGTCTGACCACAATGCTGCGGCATGTTCTGATAAGCTCCATTTTTATCTGATTATTTTTCTAGTTCTCCTTTTCAGCCTACCGGTATTTATCTGTTGTTGTTGTTTTAGTTTATAGGCATTTGTCATTCAGAAGTGAATATTTACGCCCTTTTATTGTGTAGTCTCCTCTCCAGCTTCTCTTTCTCATTTCTCTACGCTCTCTCTCTTTTACTGTCTTACCAGTCCTTCTAATCTTCTATAACATTTGTCTTATTGCCTTCTGTTACGCGATTGTTCTCCTTCAATTATCCTCTAGTCATCCGTTTCAATCTCTTCTCTTGTTTCTCTTTCTTTTCTTTGATCATATCCTTGATTATTTATTGTGAATTGCCATTTATATTTATTATGTATCTTTTGTAAATTCAATTTGTTTCAGCCTCTAGCTGCTATTTGAATGTTTTTTAATCTATAAACCATATCAAATCAACTCAAATCAAATCAAACCTAAGTTCATGCACAGGGGTTTACAGCCGATTTACAAAAAAAATATGATCCATAAAAAATAAGGTAGATCTAGACTCTAGTCTCTAGATCTAATTTCATATTGCAAGGCAAAATGTCATAAAACCAGTCGATACAACTTATTACTTACAATTTTGAGGATATCTGCTCTCAAAATGAAGATTTCCAGACCTTTATCGGTAAGTAAGTAATTTTTCGGAACGGACGCAAATGACTGCAAAATTTGCCAATTTTTTGGTCAATATTTTCATAATTTCACACCCGATTCCAGAGAAAATTCTGTCTGTGGGTAATTTTATGGTTCCTCTTTCCATTGGTGATATCAGATTTTCAAAATTATACCAATTTTTTGAGATAGCAAACTTAGGTCACGCGCGAACTTTGGTCACACAGCCATACTAAAGTAAAGGAGTAGGCCTACATGTAGATCTAGACCTCTAGACTAGATCTAAAGTAAAAGCCGTAAAAGGCTAGTAAAATAAACTTTCTGTCTACTCTCGGTCACCCAATCATTTACTTTCAGGACTGTAAAATACATGTCTAATAGTAATACTAGACCAAAAGCTTCAGTCTCTCTATATCGTTGGTTGTTCCGCTAAGACTACGTCTGGCTCCACTAGACCTCCGATTATAGAGACTAAAGTTTGTCCAATGGGGACTGTATGGAACAAATGGTTCGGTTCGGCAGGACCGCGATGAATGAGATATGCAATGAGATTTTCACTCTTTACATCCTCATAAATGCTGCAATATTACAATAATTAGAGTCTAATTAAGGGTCTATATAGCTTATTTGACTTACGATAGCTTGCTCATTTAGATTCTAAATTAATGATTAATCCGAGAAAGTCACGTAGTCAACATCGATTCGTTGCCAGCCATCTTGGTTTTAGTTGATGAATATTCATTTTTTCTTTTCGAACGTCCAATAGCTACTGTAGCTACGTACGAGTCAGCCTGGCTTGACCCACGAAAACGAGTGCTCTGATTGGCCATTGACTATGTTTTGGTAGGTTGACCCGGAAATATATCGGCCGCCAGGTCATGTGATTACTAGTTCGAGTGCATGAACGTACCGTTTCACTGTTCTGAGACAAAAATGGGACAACTCGTATAGATTCTGGACTAGATCTAGACTAGATATAAGTAAGTCCGTAAATTTCTCATTTTAAAACAGTTCATCTAATCTAGACCTAGATCTAGATTTAATAACTCCATAGACTAGAGTCTATAGGAATATACAAATACATACATAGTCTAGGTCTAGACTAGTATTTGTGTATCTGCTTTATAGACTAGTCTAGATCAGAAAATTTACAAAAGTCTCTAGATGGAGTCGGGCTAACTCGCCCCACGGGACATCTCGCCCCAGCCTCAAAGACTGGGGCGAGATATCCCGACATGATTTATCGATAGAGAGATACCAATATGTATATGTTTGTGCTCATTGTGACTTAATAAGGCCATTTCCAACCACAATCTGTAATGGAATTTTGTCAAATGATACTATTGAAGACAATCTATATCTTCTCTTTAGACTTTAGGTAAAATGACAAAAAAATGGCATTTTGGACAATTTACTCACAGCTCGCAATTCGCATCGCCGCACATAGACTACAGTGCGTTGTATCGATACGAACCACGGAAATTCAAGCAGTGTTTTTGTCAGTACGTCACTGCAAAAATATAATTTTCATAATGTAGGCCTACAGTCTGTACAGAAGTCGTCGTACCGTGGGGGTAATCTAGAGGAATCAGGGCTAACTCGCCCCACGGCCACGGGACATCTCTCCCCAGAACGCTCAAAGACTGGGGCGAGATGTCCCGACATGATTCATCGATCGAGAGATAATTTACGGCCAGGCCCAGGACGAAAGAATGTGAACAAACATCAGACTCAGAGGTCCAGGCCTAGTGAAAAAAAATTGCATTCACTTTGCGTTACGATTTTCCTTACCGTCACTTCGTGAAAACAGGGACGAAATGTCAGTTTTATTAAAGAAATGACCCATATCAGACGGTTATTTCTGTCTAGTCTAATAATAGATTTAATTGTTTACCTCTTCAGGCTTTCGTGGGCGTGCACGAGATCGAACGGCCTTTCTCGATGAGGGTGGAGAGCTCGAGTTTGATCTGGTGGAGGCAGAAGGCAGCTTAAAATCAATCATTGGCATCACCATCACACTCTCTGGAATCCCATTTTGCCTTGAATTTTCCATAAATGGACTTCCAAACTCTTGGTGACCATTTTGAGGCATACAATTATGGAGGATGTTCATCGGCCCATTCTGCTGTTTCTGCGGCTTGAAGGACTGGCCATTTACAGCGTTCACCCCAAGGAGATCTCCGCCTGGCCCAGGCGCCGGGGAACCGCTTGCTCCGTAAGACTTAGATTTAGAACTTCGAAGAGCCGATGTTGGACTTTGAGTTTCGACAACCACAGGCTCTTTCCATGTTAGCATCGTCGATGCCGACTGTTTGACCGAATCTTCTGTCGGAGAGAGCGCCTGCATGATGCCTGCTATTTAATGTGCATGTCTGCACAAGACTTTATGCTCAATTCATCACATTTTGAACATCTTTCGATAGATTTCAAGTGCTGTCAATTGTCATACCGCAGGGTAGCAGCTCTCTATTGGCAGCCATATTGGATATGTTGCTAATTAGCATAATAATGAATATGTATTTCAGTAGAAAAACTTTTGTGGTAATCCGCCTCTGTTATTAATTCTCATATAAAGAGAAAATTAATTCCCTTTTCATCGATAAAACATTAGTTTGATAATGATAAAGTTGTTATAAAGAATTATATATACTTCGAACATGCTCCATATTCCCGATTTCTTTTTTTGTACACGTAACAAAGATACTTCTTTATTAGCGCATTGATACCGTCTAGACAGTTGTTTAAGTTGCAAACCGTCCTAGCTACCGTTGCTATGGGGTCTGCAAGCCGCGCGCGCTGTACTGTACTTTACCAGATGGCTTCAAATAACTCAAAGTCAACCAAGTCAAAGCAACTTTCCGTTTGGCGGCGTTCATGGACTTGGCGTTCTACTACGAAAAGAAATATTAAAATTTGTGTCAATTATTAAACAGGCTAAATCTGAAACAGTATTTTGGTTAAAGATCAGCGAGAAGGCATTTGGATTTCCGTTTATACTTGGTGCTGTTTACATTCCTCCTGAAAATTCTAAATATTTGAACGAGCCTATGTTTGATGACATTGCTTCTGATCTTCTCATGTTAAAAAAATGTACATAATATGCCATTTTTTCTTCTAGGAGATTTCAATGCAAGAACAGGTGTTGAAAATGAAATATCTGGTTATTCTGAAATTGAGGATTGCGCCAACAGTCATTATGTGAATGATTTTTTTTTATAACGATTAATAGATACTGAGGATTTCCAGACTTATAACATATTAAGGTTGAGAAGATGTAACAGCGACGCTGTTATTAATAACCACTGAAAAAGATTTCTTGAACTAAGTGTAGACATTTTAAACTGATTATTGCAAATGGAGACATGGATAAACAAGGGGATTTTACATGTGCTAACACAAGTACCATTGATTATTGTGCCGCATCGCTCGAATTATTCCATGTTCTTAATATCTTGCGGTTGATATATTTGACCCTTTTTTTTGTCTGATAAACATAATCCCATTGTATTAAGATTGAATAGCGAAAGCAGTTATGAAAAATGTAAAAGTGACAAAAGTTTCGGGATCAACGACGAAAATTAAATGGAGTGTAAATTCTGCTAAAGATTTTGTTGATAACATCGACCAAAGTCTAGTTGAAAATATACATTATGCTGTCGATCGTTAAGAGGGTCACGACATTCAGATTGATCAGGAATCAATCGTTAATGTAGCTTGTTTATTAAAAAATATTTACCTTACGGCGGCCAAAAAAAGTGGAATGGTAAAAACCTATGGAAATCATAAACCTTGTAAATCTGGTCGAAAGCGGAAACCATGGTTTGATGCAAATTGTGTTCGGTTAAGGGCTCAGTATCAATCTGATAGTATTGAAAAGGAATATACCAAAGTTAAGAAAATGTATAAAAAAGCTATTCGTTCAGCTCAAAACAACTTTGATATAAAAATCAACAGTGAATTAAGAAATCTTAAAATCAATCAACCACAAGCATATTGGACAATCATTAATTCAGCTAACGGTTTAAGTAATGAAAAAAAAAAAACAATTGAAATTCATTCTCTTGAACAACACTTTCGTAGTCTGAGCCAAAATCAAAGAGATAATGCAGATATATTAGAACCTGACCAAATTCTTTCGAGCAATCAATGTATCAACCGTTCTATAAGCAGGGAAGAAGTAACATGTCAAATAAATAGACTGAAAAACGGTAAGGCACATGGCGATGATTTAGTTCTAAATTATTTTTTAAAGTGTAGCACAAAGTCTGTTTTATGTTTTAATCGTTGGGTTATTTAACATTGTATTTGAAAGTGGAATTGTAACATCTGAATGGACAATGGGGTTAATTCACCCTCTTTATAAGAAGAAAGGAAATCCTAATGATCCGAACAACTATAGGAATAACATTGCTTAGTTGTCTTGGCAAGCTGTTTACAGCAGTCTTGAATGAGCGACTAATAACGTCTTATCTCGAAGATAATGAATTGCTATAGGTGATGAACAGACTGGTGAACAGATCACATTTTTGTTCTCCATTCAGTGATCGATTTATATCTCTCTTCAAAAGAGTGGGTTTAATGTGCATCATTTATTAAATACAAGAAGGCATTTGATTTAGTTGACAGGAGTTCTCTTTGGAATACTTAAGAATAATGTTGATGGTAAGTTTTTCAATGTAATTAAACATACTGTATGCCGCAGGCTAATGTAATTTCTGGTACAGAAAAGTCTTCTTTATTTGATTGTAACATTGGTGTGCGAAAAGCAGGCACATAGCCAGGGGGGGGGGGGGCACGTGCCCCCAAAATATTTCCATGATCGGTTGAATTTTTTAGACCCCTTTTTTGACCTCGATCGATTACAAGTCATGTATGTGCCCCCTAAACATCGAACTCTGGCTACGTGCCTGGCGACAAGGAGAAAATTTATCTCCGATGCTATTTGCCCTCTTAATATGCGCTCAAATAAGACCTTTTTAATGTCGGCTGCTAGAAGTTTTGCACCCCGTATTCGATGAAGTATATAATAATCTACATTTCATGTCAGTTTAAGCACATTTAAAGCAAATGGGAATTAGCAACAAATGTATTAACCCCACCCCCTTCTATGCGCCAAACGTTTAGGTTTGTTTTGGACATTGGTTGATACGCGCTCAAATAAGACCTTTTTAATGACGGCTGCTAGAATTCTGCACCTTATATTCGATGAGGTATATAATAATCTACATTTCATGTGAGTTTAAGCACATTTAAAGCATATGGAACATTAGCAACTAATGTATTAACACCACCCCCGTCTATATACTCTAGACGTTATATGCGCCAAACGTTTAGGTTTGTGCTGGACATTGGTTGATATGCGCTCAAATAAGACCTTTTTAATATCCGCTGCTAGAATTTGTGCACCCCGTATTCGATGAAGTATATAATAATCTACATTTCATGTGAGTTTAAACACATTTAAAGCAAATGGGAATTAGCGGCGAATGTATTAAAGGCCGAAACCCCATTCACCGATATTCTCTCCACGTTATTCGCTATTAACAAAAATATTTGTTCTGGACATTGGTTGATATGCGCTCAAATAAAACCTTTTTAATGTCGGCTGCTAGACTTTCTGCACCCCGTATTCGATCATGTATCTAATAATCTACAATTCATATGAGTTCCAGCACTTTTAAAGCAAATGGAAATTAGCAACGAATGTATTAACCCCACCTCCTTCTATATACTCTAGACGTTATATGCGCTAAACGTTTAGGTTTGTTCTGGACATTGGTTGATATGCGCTCAAATAAGACCTTTTTAATGTCGGCTGCTAGAATTTGTGCACCCCATATTCGATGAGGTATATATTAATCTACAATTCATGTGAGTTTCAGCACATTTAAAGCAAGTGGGAATTAGCGGCGAATGTATTAACCCCCACCCCTTCTATATACTCTAGACGTTATATGCGCTATACGTTTAGGTTTGTTCTGGACATTGGTTGATATGCGCTCAAATAAGACCTTTTTAATGTCGGCTGCTAGAATTTGTGCACCCTGTATTCGATGAGGTATATAATAATCTACAATTCATGTGAGTTTCAGCACATTTAAAGCATATGGAACATTAGCAACGAATGTATTAACCCCCACCCCCTTCTAGATACTCTAGACGTTATATGCGCCAAACGTTTAGGTTTGTGCTGGACATTGGTTGATATGCGCTCAAATAAGACCTTTTTAATGTCCGCTGATAGATTTTGTGCACCCCGTATTCGATGAAGTATATAATAATCTACATTTCATATGAGTTCCAGCACTTTTAAAGGAAATGGGAATTAGCAACGAATGTAATAACCCCCACTCCCTTCTATATACTCTATACGTTATATGCGCCAAACGTTTAGGTTTGTTCTGGACATCGGTTGATATGCGCTCAAATAAAACCTTTTTAATGTCGGCCGCTAGACTTTCTGCACCCCGTATTCGATTAAGTATATAATAATCTACATTTCATGTGAGTTTAAGCACATTTAAAGCAAATGGGAATTAGCAACGAATGTATTAACCCCACCCCCTTCTATATACTATGCGCCAAACATTTAGGTTTGTGCTGGACATTGGTGGATATGCGCTCAAATAAGACCTTTTTAATGTCCGCTGCTAGAATTTGTGCACCCCGTATTCGATGAAGTATATAATAATCTACGTTTCATGTGAGTTTAAGCACATTTAAAGGGAATGGGAATTAGCGGCGAATGTAATAAAAGCCGAAACCCCATTCACCGATATTCTCTCCACGTTAGTCGTTATTAACAAAAATATTTGTTCTGGACATTAGTTGATATGCGCTCAAATAAAACCTTTTTAATGTCGGCTGCTAGACTTTCTGCACCCCGTATTCGATAAGGTATCTAATAATCTACATTTCATGTGAGTTTCAGCTCACTTAAAGCATATGGAACATTAGCAACGAATGTATTAACACAACCCCCTTCTATATACTCTAGACGTTATATGCGCCAAACGTTTAGGTTTGTTCTGGACATCGGTTGATATGCGCTAAAATAAAACCTTTTTAATGTCGGCCGCTAGACTTTCTGCACCCCGTATTCGATTGAGTATATAATAATCTACATTTCATGTGAGTTTAAGCGCATTTAAAGCAAATGGGAATTAGCGGCGAATGTATTAACCCCACCCCCTTCTATATACTCTATACGTTATATGCGCCAAACGTTTAGGTTTGTTCTGGACATCGGTTGATATGCGCTCAAATAAAACCTTTTTAATGTCGGCCGCTAGACTTTCTGCACCCCGTATTCGATTAAGTATATAATAATCTACATTTCATGTGAGTTTAAGCACATTTAAAGCAAATGGGAATTAGCGGCGAATGTATTAACCCCACCCCCTTCTATATACTCTAGACGTTATATGCGCCAAACATTTAGGTTTGTGCTGGACATTGGTTGATATGCGCTCAAATAAGACCTTTTTAATGTCTGCTGCTAG